TTTTTTTTTTTTCAGCAGCTCCAGCTCGAGCTCGACTCGATAGAAAATTACAATAGCTCGAGTTCGGCTCGAAAATTTTTAAGTGAAAAGGTAAAATTACCATTAAGCACTTAGGCTAATATATATAATAAGGGGTATTATAGTAATTTAATGTGTATCTCGAATCGCTCGACGAGGTAAAATATAAGCTGGACTCGAGTTCGTGCTCGACTCGAGTTCGGTCAAACTAGAGCTCAAGTCGAGCTTTGACTCGAGCACTCGCGAACAACTCGCGAGACGAACAGTAGTTAAGCCCATAAACCATAGTGGACTCTCCCACATGCAGGCAGCATATGATTAGAAGTGAGAGTTTGAGGCAAGCCCAAATTTGCATTAGGTCGAACAGTAGTAATCATGTCTGAGAGAGTTAAGCCCATAAACCATAGTGGACTCTCCCACATGTTTGCTGCTTTGATATCCAACTAGGCCACAACAAATAACGGACCTAGTCATTCTTTCAATTCATTTAAGGCCCATTATCCTACCCTCTGTCTGGATACTTTCTTTGATCTGGACTTCAACAATTCCAACGTGCATGCATTGTACCAACAAGAGTCTTTCCGACGTGCTTTTAGCGTTCTGAAAAGAAAGTGCATCTGTTGATATGACTTCTACGAATCAAGTTTTTCAAACTTTTTTCAATTTGTCTTATATCGTAAATTGGGAGTATCACAGTTCACAAGCTCGTAACAATCTAGTCGACGAGCTAATGCTGCTAAAGCATTAGCCCAGACCTTATCGATCTGAACAAACGAGCTTTAATGTGAGCGCAAACTCGGCCTATGTACTAAATGGTGCTCTGACTTCAGGTCGACCTCTTTCAAATGGAATCGAGCTCAAATAGATCGCTAATGGCAGTCGTATACATACTGATTCATATTCATAATTTTCCTGTTTAAAAACGAAAAATGTGAAGAATATTGAGAGTGTAGAAATGAAGTTTGTGTAAAAATATGAAGTTGAGTGTAAGGTATGGTATCTATATTACACCATATTATTATAGGTCCAACAACTTCTAACATCTCTTTATTAATAAAGCAAATGGTTGATGGATGACTGATATTGTTACTTCATTACTAAATATTCTATGCGTGTAAAAAAAATAGCTACTAGTGATCGAAAAAACTACACCGATCAAGAAAATATAATTAATAGCTTAGGATTGTAATTTTTATTTAAAAAATATATATAATTAATGTGCTTAGGGCTTTAGTGTTTTTTTTTTTTTTTCATAAAAGATTAACCCATCTATATCTATATCTATATATATATTAAAAGCCAACCTATTTACCAAAAATAGTAGCAAGAAAAGTCAACACACATTTAATGCAAACCTTATTTGGAAATTTATTATTATATGCATTAAATGCTTGCATATTTACATTTACTATCCAGATATAATTTCAAAGATTTTTTCCTTAAATAATTTATTCAATGATTTTACTGATATCCATTATAATTAATATTTGTCGAGTAATATTTTTTAACCTTTATTTAATTATATAAAATTAATATTTTTTTTAAAAAATTAATATTATTTATCATTTAAAAGATAATGATCACATCATTAAATGATTTTATTGATGGTTAGATAATAAAATTATATTAGTTATTCTTTAAAATTTCGACATGTTATTTATTTGTATATTATTGTCAACAATGATAGTGTTTTTATCACTTTTTTTTGTTATGTTTCAAAAATGAACTTATTGTAAAATATTTTTCTATTGCATAGTATGTTAACTAAACTATAAAGTCTTAGGATGAAAATTAGAAAAAAATCTCTTGATTATGTAAGGGATTTATTTTTTGGCAATTGCTAAATCATTTTTTTTGAAAAAAAAAAAAAGAATTATTATGAGAAAATTGAATTCTAAAAAACATGTGTGTGTATTTTGTAAACATTTATACTCAAAATTTTATTTTGAATTTCATTACATAAAGAAAACTACTTCTAACTTTTATAAATAATAATAATGACATTATATGACTATAAATTTTATAATAAAATAATAATGAAGTATTATATGGTGAACGAAAATAAATAAAATTTTTATCAATGAATAAATAAGTATTCTAAAATCAAATAAATATTAGTATGACGTGTTAGCAGAATTATATATTAATTAACATGTTAATTTTTTGGCTTAAATAAACGCCACTTATTAAAGGATGTGAAATATGGACGATCCAAGCATATTATTTTTTTGTCTAGACGTACAAGTCCTATAGAAATAATTGATTTATCATATGTATCACGTGCATCGCACGGGGTATGCACTAATAAATTACTTTAAAATTGTGCACCCCGTGCATCACCCGTGTTCACATTTTGGCCTATTACAGGTCACGTACTATATATATCCCGTACATTTTTTTTATTCATTTATATAATTATAAGAATAGATAGATGACCTTAAAATTGTGCACCCCGTGCATCGCACGGGCTCTGTACTAGTTTGGACGGAAATTTATTCGTGAGGATGTAGAAAAACATATATGCTGACGAACTGATATGGTAAGAAATTAACATATCATTACCGTCATGAAAATCTCATGCAAAATAATATCTATAACTACATGTACGTAAAAGTCTTAGTAACTATTAAAAAATCCATCATGAAAGAGTTAAAAAGTTTTTAATAAGAATTCTCTAAAATATCAAAGAATCCACCAAATTCATAAAAGTTTTACAAAATTCATCAAAGTCACCCAATTTAAAAGGATTTAAATGTGATGGTAAATATATAGGTGTTCCGTTTCGATGGGAGGGTAAAGATAATTTTAACAAGTACAAATAAAGGTTAATATAAAAATACAATTCTTTTACTATAATTTAAACAAATTTTTTACCTGATAACTCGTGTTCTTGTTAGAACGCAAGGAGAGGGAGAAGAGAGAAAAAAGATACCTGATCGTTCTGGTTTGGATTAAAACACGGCTTTTGTTTGTTATTTACAAGTATCGCGGACTCTAAAATCCCGCCAAAATCATACCCAATTAGTATTTGAATTAATTAGGAAAAAAATACTTATAAACATATTTCTATATTTTTCAATTTTGTTTTCTACAATAAATTACTGCCTCTTGATGGCTGTCAGGATTCATCTATATTACTATCACTTAATAATTCAATACTATCAGAGGAGCTAAGTCATGTACAATTTTATACCATTCTGAAAGCTGTTTTATATTTAATAAAATGTGCTAAATAATATTTTTAATCAGTGAAAGTAAATTAAAATAAATTCAATAAACATTTATATTTATTGAAAGCATTTATAAGATATTTAAAAACTTGAAATTATATTTTCTCTCGAAATTCTAAGATTGTATGAATTTTCTTTGGAATATACAATTGTCAAATAGAATTCATTTTTTCCTTTAATAATTCCAATCGTTGGAATCATTCAAATCTAAGTTCGAATTGCAAACGATGTTTTCTTTGAAATTTTGAAAATAAATTATAATATTGAAATATCGACCGAAACCATGTAAACTATGTTAACGTTAGCATATATTAATGAAATCTTTCATTGGAATTTATATGTTTTCATGCTTGGCAACCAATAAATGTAATTACGGGCAAACAAGGTAAATTTATCATATTAAACTTGGATTTATAATATTACATGATGACCTAATAATAGTTACAAACCCCGACGGAATGGTTCCGTGATGAGACCGTAGCATTTTTCATGATTTGTATTATGACCCCTTGTCTGTACGGCAACGTCCATATGGCAGAATAATACTTGAAAAAAAGAAAACATTTGATGGGCTTGTAAGTTGT